GTAGCACATGAGAAGGCATTGGCCCAATCCCTGAGAAAGCGGAGGTGCTGCTCAGCAGTTTCAACATTGGGGTTCAGAGTCCCCCCAAACCTGGTGTGATCTATGAATATTCCTTCTTAAAAATGCACAGAGACAAGCCGAACCGGTTTGGCTCAGTGGATAGAGCATCAGCCTGCGGACTCAAGGGTCCCAGGTTCGATTCCGGTCAAGGGCATGTACCTTGGTTGCGGGCACATCCCCAGTGGGGGGCGTGCAGGAGGCAGCTGATCGATCTCTCTCATCGATGTTTCTAACTCTCTATCCCTCTCCCTTCTTCTCTGTAAAAAATCAATAAAATATATTTTAAAAAATGCACAGAGACACATGCATCAATGTGTCTAAAATACCCCCCAGGACCCCTGAAACCTATCCACAGATGGCCTGACTCCAGGTCACAAAAGTGGGGAGTTCTTCCTTTAGAAAGAGGAGAGAATGACCTGCTTATTGTCGGCTTGTCAAACCACAGGAATGACGCCTACCTAATAAGCACTATTACTCACTTCTCCCACTGTCCACATTTTGGAAAAATTCTGTGCCAAAAATACAGGGGATGATGGAACAGAGATGGAGAGGTGATAGGAACCCAGCAGATCCTGTCAACAACAGGTTGTGTCTCTCTGACTGCCTCCTCCATCACAGCATCTGGACACCAAGGTTAATGACAAATCCTAATTACTTTTTGGGGGCCCATCTGTTTACGGATGGTGACCTCGAATGGAAGCCACCCGGCTGCCTGTCCCATCACAGGCAGGATCTGTGAGCAAATGCCTTTGAGAGGCTCCGGGCAGAAAGAAATATGATAAGGATGCAGAGGGTCCTACCATTTGGGGGGGGGGGGTTTTAAACCAAAAATTGCAGACACAAATTTTCCCAAGCAAATGTTTCATTCCAGCCTCAATACACATAAAAGTCCTGCAGACACCTCATGGGTGTGTGTCCAACTCACAAAGCCCCTTTGCACACTCAGGAGAAGTCCTCAGTGTCCATGCAGCCTGGCACCTCTGGCCACAGCTGATTGGATGAGGGGTGGACACTCAGAGTGAGCTGAGCCAATCAGAGTTCCTTCCCTGGGAATTTGGAGTTAGGACTAAGAAAAGCTATAACCACTGGGGAGGTATCGCATGGCTATATTTTCTACCATGTGAGATGAGAAGCAGACCTTTCATGAGGTTAGGCTGTGCTCCTGTCCTCAAATCCCTAGAAATAGCTCTGAATCTTTACATTAAAATTCCCCTTGTTGTATAATGTGGTAGAGTCTCCCAAAGTGGCCACCATTAATGCCTTCCTATGGATGCATAAGTCATTCTTCCACAAGCAGAGGGGACCCATTTCCCTTCTCCAATAGAATATGGTTGGCTAATACCCTACTAGTTTCAGACCCGGCTGTTAAGAACCCTGGATCTCTTGGGATGCACCTCCCATGTGAAGGAGCTCAGGCCAGACTACCAAACAAGGAACGAAAGGGAACACATAGAGCACACATGGGCATGGACATGGGCATGAAGCTTCCTTGGACCTTCCAGCCCAGCCACCAGCCAAACGCAGCCGTGCCAGCAATCCCAGCCCATGCCATGTGGAGCAGAAAACCTGCCCAGCAGAGCCCTGCCTGAATTCTTCAACTACAGAATGGTCAAAAATAACATACGGTTGTTGCTTTAAGTCACTAAAGTTAGGGTGCTTTGTTAATGTAGCCATAGATAATTGAACCACCTTGCTGGAATTAATTTCCCTTCTGGCAAGCAAGCCAAGTGTCCTAACGAATATAGAAAGCCTGTAGCAGGCAGGGCGTGAAAAATAAACTCTGTTGTCCCACTTAGCCATTGAATATGGGGTGTGGGGGCACGATAAGGCTGTTGAGTCTCCCCTCTTCTGGCCATCATCTCCCCTCTGGGGGTGCTGAAGACAGCAGAGCTGGGTTGTGGGCTGAGTGGTGACCAAAGGTTTAGACACCCCATTGGGCAGAAGCAAAGAGGCTTCTGGAAGAGAACCAGCTCTGATCTGCTGGGGTGCCTGACTCTAGCAAAGCTGCCCCAGGAAGACAGCACCTCCTGGGAGGCCCGGGGGCGTCTCCCTGGAACTCTCAGAGCCACAGGAGCAGGAGACCAGCTACGGATGCACAAACAGGTCAATAAGATCCGAAAGGCACAGGGCCAGCATAGGAGGAGCTGCAGCTTCTAGCTCCCAACGTGTCCCCTTCAGACCCGAGCCTTTCAAACGCCCATGCACTGCAGTCTAGAAATTTTGGGTCAGGCCTTCAGGAAAGACACCTAACAGCTGAGAGCATACTTCTGAGAGCCAGCCCGGCAGGACGTACATCTTCACTCGACGTGACCTTAGGCAAGGGGCCTGACCTCACTAGCAACATGGGGATAGTAATAATAATAGCATCTACTTGACAGGGTTGAGAAAAGCAGTTCAAGGGTCAATCCATATGATGTTTTGTTATTATTGTTGTTGTTTTAAATATACATACATACATATATATATATATATAGAGAGAGAGAGAGAGAGATCTATATATATCTATATGTATAGATATATATAGATATATATGTATTTGTTGATTTCAGAGAGGAAGGGAGAGGGAGATAGAAACATCAGTGATGAGAGAGAATCGTTGGTCGGCTGCCTCCTGCACACCCCTCACTAGGGATAGAGCCCGCAACCTGGGCATGTGCCCTGACCAGGAATGGAACCATAACCTCCTAGTTCATAGGTCAATGTATATATATAAGAGAGAGAGAGAGATCTATATATATCTATATGTATAGATATATATAGATATATATGTATTTGTTGATTTCAGAGAGGAAGGGAGAGGGAGATAGAAACATCAGTGATGAGAGAGAATCGTTGGTCGGCTGCCTCCTGCACACCCCTCACTAGGGATAGAGCCCGCAACCTGGGCATGTGCCCTGACCAGGAATGGAACCATAACCTCCTAGTTCATAGGTCAATGCTCAACCATAAGGCCACACTGGCCGGGCCATATGACGTTTTTAGGCTCAGGGTTTGGCACATAAGTGCTCGATAAATGGTACCCAGTATGATGATTATTTGTTATGTGTATCAACAGTGACTTCACACCTCTCTAGATGGCTTTCACTCAGGTAACAGGAAGAGGACTCAGCACCAGAGAGATGGGTGTCTGGACCCAGAATGGGGCACAGGAACAGCTGCTATTTTAACAGAGTTAGAAGGAGTTCACTCGCTCCAGAGGAGCAGGTAACCCCAGGGTCCAGAGGACTCCAGCAAACACCCAACACGCAGTCTGATCAGGAGGGTCCTGAGAATCAGACTGACCACTTCAGTGAGGGCGGAGGGGCTGAGGCTCCCAAAGCTTATTCACTGGGAACCTCAGGTTCTGAAGTGGGGGCCCCAGTGGCACCCCGGTTTCAGCCTCGCTCCGCATCTGACGTGTCGCTTTGCTTTTATCAGGCTCCTCTCTGATCCTCTCCCAGGGAAGCGCGGAAAGAACTGGAACGAGGGCAGTTCGAGCTCTTCAGACACAAATAGCACTGGGTTTGCCTCTGGCGATGCTTCTAACGAGGTCTTGCTGCTGAAAACGTGAGGGGAAACAGCCGCAGCCAGAATCCCCGCCCCAACTGCCGCCGCCCCCCCCCCACAAGCGGAAAACACAGCGTCTCAGCAAAGGGAGGCTCTGCCACCAACGGCTCGGCCCAGCTTCCCTGGGAGCCTCCCCGATCTCCCTCCACGGAAGCCGGCTGCTGGAATTCCAGGGCTTGCCAAGCAGGAGTCTAGGGGCATAAATTCTAGAACAGAGGCCTCGGCCAGTGACCAAACCTGAGCTTCCACAGCAAGTTCATTGATAAATGACTGCCGCCATTTAATGAGTGGGTGCTCTGCGCCAGGCACCGCATGAATCCGTCGCATGTTAAACACTCGCTGAGAAGGATGTGCTCATGTTATCCCCACTCTGCAGAGGAGGAAACCGAGGCACAAGGAGGGAAATGGCTTCCTTAAGGTCACACAGGGGTCAGTGGGAGGCCTGGAATTTGGACCCAGGTCTTTGACTTTAGGGCCCCAGTGGTTAACCACTGTGCTACTCCATCCTGTCACCAGGTTAGTCAAGGCAAATCACGAGACATGGAGGACAGGCAGGCAACCCATCTACCCTGTTCTAGGATGTTCAAGCTAGCACCTTCTCAGGCCACAGAGACACTCCCCACACCTTAACTTCACCCCCAGAGTCAGGCCAATGGCCATGTTCATATGAGATGGGCATCACAGCTGATTGGACGAGAGAGAGCACCTGACATAAGGCAGCCAATCAGCGTGCCTTCCCTGGGAATTTGGACCCTGAACTACAAGATTCTAAACCCTCCAGCCTCTTGGCCACAGGAGATGGCGAGGGAAATGAGGAGGCAGCACTGTCTGTCATTTTCGCTCATTCCCTCAACAAATATTTTCGTGCACACCGATTTATGTACCAGGCTCTGGAGATTCAGTGGTGAACAAAACAGGCAAGCATCTCTACCCTTGGGAACCTTATCTAACAGAGAGAGATAAACAATCATCAAAGTAAATATGTAAATATAAAATATGTTAGCTGGTGCTAAGTGCTATTCAGGAAAAAGGTTGAGAGGAATTCTTGCTTCCAAGGGTTTATCCTTAACACACATATCCCTCTCCCCACAAGGCACAGGAGTGTGCCTTCTCACTCTCCTTCCTCCCCATCAGAAAAACCCCGTTCCCCCTCTGGAAAAGCCCCCCCCCCGGGAACCGTCCCGGCCCCCCCCCCCCCCGTCACCCTCTCCTCCTCCAGCCCTCCAACCTCATGTGACAAAGATTCCAGTTCTGCCTGGGTGGGTGGCCTGGTGGGTCACAGATGGCAAGGCCCAAAGGCAGCCCCCCTCCAGCCCAGCACCCCGCCCCGAGCAGCGCAGCCTCCAGGCCCCGCCTCCAGGACCGTGGAATGGGTGGGAAGTGTCAGGCCTCACCCGATCCGCGCCTGCTCCATCTCTTCCATTTTCTCGGCCCGGGCAATCACCCTGTTGATAATTTCCTTCTCCTCATCTGTCAGCTCTTCCTGCTTCCTCTGTCTGTCGGGCTGACCACCGGGATGGACGGACCAGCCCGCCTGGAGCCTGAAAGGTAATTTGGGAAGGCGTGAGGCTGGACAGGAAACCCAGTGGGCAGTGTGGAGTTGTGGTTAGACCCCAGGCCCTGGGGTCGGGTAAACCCCCAGTTCACACCTTTGCCGGGAAACTCCCCCGGCTGGGAGACTCTGGGCTAAAGAATCATATCTCTCAGAGCCTCAGTTTGCTCATCAGTACAATGGGTTTAGTCTCATTATGGGCTTAGCACACATTTGCAGGCAGCTCACGGAAACCTGGAGGACAAGGGTGTTCTCAGGAGAAGGTTCCAGAGCAGCAGACTTCTGCCGGAGTGGAGCCAATTCTGGGAGGGCAGTCAGAAGCCCTGGGCTCCAGGTAGACCCCAGCCCCTGCCTGGCACAAAGATGTTGGATTCGAGCTACAGATTTAAAAAATAACGCATTTAAAGTAGTTGCCAACGAGGCTTATAAAAATCCCCCGATTTCACATAAACATCCTGATTTCCAGCCTCAGAAGCTCCTGGAGAATTTTGAGTTCCATCCTGTGTTCTTCTTGGCTTTTTTGAACAAGCAAACACGGACATCGTACCTCCTGGGCACCACACTACCTCACTCAATCCTCACATCATCCCTACAAGACAGGGATTGTCAAACATTTACTGGTGAGGAGACTCAGATATGGAGAAATTAGGCCATTTCCCCCACATTGCGTGGCTAGGAAGTGGCGGAGGTGAGATTCGAACCTGGGCCGCCTGTGCACTTAACCTCCACAGTACGAAGAGGACCGAGTGCCCGCCCGCGTGGCCCCAGTGACGGTGCAGAGGATCAGAGGCTGCTGATGGAGAGCCGAGGTCTATGGCACATTATGAGCATCTCCACGGATGACACGGTCCACGCCCCCGGGGAACTGGGGCATCACCCGAGTGGAATGCAGGGTTAAACACTAGAAATGCTGGTCCCTGTTAGGGGGGGAAATAGTAACTAGAATCCTCCAGAGCCAGCACGCCATTAGCTGCCAGCCTCTATTACTTCCACTGCTCTACTCTCGCCAGCAGCCATGAAATTGCCTTTTGACACTCAATGTTAAAAATCAAAAGCCCCATCTCCTCACCCCGCCACCCCCCCACCCTCTGCCATCCTCCTATCTTAGCTGGCAGAGAAGGAAGAGTTTGAAAGCGAAGGGAAGCAGGTGTCCGGGCCAAGTCTTGTTGGGAGAAGGGGGAGGAGGGCGAAATTCTGGTGGAAACACACCTTGCCTTGGAGCCAGGGCCTCTGGGGATGAACAAATAAATGCTAAACAGGCTCACCCCCTCTGCTCAATACCCTCCAGGGGCTTCTCACTGACTTTGAAAAAACCCCACAATGCATAGAGGTTGCACAACATTGTGATAATGCTGAAGGCCACTGAATTGTACACTGTAAAATGGTTGGTTTTATGTTCTGTGAATTTTACCTTGGTAGAAATAAAAGTCAGTCTTCTTGCCCATCTGCAAAGTCCCACCTGATCTGTCCTTAACCTGCCTCCGTCCTCATCACCCCCTTACTGCACCCCAGCATCGCTGGCCTCCCTGATCAATCTCAAACACTGAAACCTTGTTTTTGCCTCAGGGCCTTTGCACTTGCTGTCCCCTTTCCAGGAAGACTTATCCCCCCAGATATCCCCATGGATGGCTCCTTCTCATCATTCAAATCTGGTTCAAAAGTCAACTCAGAAAGGCCTTCCTTGATCCCTCACTGTCCAGGTTCATTTCCTTCATTGCACCCATCGCTAATTGAAAATATCTTTTTAAAGAATTATGTTGTAAAGAAAAAGGAGGAGGAGGAGGAGGAGGAGGAGGAGGAAGAGGGGAATCTTTGTCAATCTACAAAAGCCTGTGTGTCTCTGATGACTCTCTTACACCTCTGCCATGACATGACAGCAAGCCCAGGACAGAATGTTGGAGGATGAGAGGCCTGTGGAGCAGAGCTGAGTCATTCCAGCCACAGCCATCCTAGATCAGCCAACCCTTTGCCACATAAGCGAATCCAGCCAAGATCAGCAGAGCCACCAGCTGAGCCCAGATTCCTGGAAACAAATAATTGTTCTATACCACAGAGTTTTAAGATGGTTTGTTACACAGCAAAAGCTAGCTGATACAGTGCCCACTACAACAACAACAAACAAATGAGAAGCTTGCTAAACGCCCTACATTTACTTTGCAGTTTGGTATTATTTTAAATTACAGTTGCACAAGGTTCACCATGATGTATTTAATGCTGTCAGCTACTAAAGACCCTTCTCCAGCGCCACTCTCACCTGTCTTATCTATTTAGCTTCGGAATAAAATATTAATCAAAGAGTTTCACTGCTAACAAAAAGCCTACAGATCACTGCAACTGACCTGCTCATTTTCCAGATGCCTGCCCCTCAGAGGAGGGAAGGGAGTGGCCGAGAAACATGTGTGGAGCAAGTACACTCAGGGGCTCAAGAAACCAGCATCCTGGACCTGCTGGATCGCTACCTGAAGGTACCTGCTCAGGTGCATCCAGAGAGGGTCAGAAGGAACCCTCCACCAGTGGCCCCAAATACAAAAGGAATGAGTCCTGACTCCAGGTGGAAGCCGCTCACAGATGTTTCTCCCTAAATATCTGCCAAGGGCAGACTCCCACCTCCTGTCTGCCTCCCGCCTTAATTCTTTATTTCATGCACACAATAGTCACATAATAAATACCCACCAGATGTCTCTTTTAACAAATTATAACTCCCAAAAGGAGTGCGATGATGGAAGTGCTGTTGGGGCACCGAGGCTCTGAAGCATTACACGGCGGTGCTGTGCGGAAAATTAATCCCTTTTCTTTCCTTTATTCTTCTCACCCCTTCCCCTCCCCCAGGATGCTGGCACAGGCAGGTGTCAGCAGGAAGTCGCTTTACAGCTCAGTGAATGAGATTTTAATGAATCCCGGAGGAAAGGATGGGGAAGGAAGGGCAGCCACACCACAAAATGTTTTCCACATGCCCTGTAGGTATAAAAGTCCTTTCAGATGAAATTTACCCCCACCAGACTAAAAGGGGTGCAGAAGGAAGCCAGGGTCCCCCAAACCCTCTTCAGAATGCTAAGGGAATCTAAGGCTCCTGCTAATCTGATAAGCCAGACTGAGCTCCACTTGTTTCTGCTAAAATTCCATGCTCTCTCACTTTTGGACTTTGCACATGCTGTTCCTCCACCGAGAACTCATCTGTCTCTTCTTCATCTTGTTCTGCTTTCACTTGGGCCCACCGTACATTTCACTTCCCCCATCATGATGCCCAAGACTGCGCTAGATGCCCCTCCTGTGCTTGCTTGGCCCACCGTGACTGCACACTGGGTATATTTGTTGGGGACTGGCTGTTTATCTGTTTGTAGACCCCGCTACACATACTCATACTTTGGCTATCCCTGTATTCCCGGTGCTTAAGATAGTGAGTGCTTGATACGTAGTAGACATTCAGTGAATAGTTGATAATGAAGGAAGGAAGGGAAAAAGGGGGAAGAAAGGAAGGGAGGAGGGAGTGAAAGAGTATGGTCATACACTCTACCTTTCAACTCTTGTATTCTGGAAGCTTCTAGGAGCCTCCAGACCCTCTGGAGTCATGAGCTTCTCTCTTATGATATTCATATCTATAATCTGACAATGTCTCAACATCTCTCCCTGGCATGTCTGAATAATACACTCACCAGACTCATAAGAAGCAGATCTAGTCTGGCCAGAGTCTTATCGGCCAACAACAGAAAGTGTAGAACATTCCAATGGCCTTTAGCCATCAACTTGTCCAAAGCTCCCATTTGACAGATGGACAAACTGAGACACAGAACCGGGGAAGTCACTTCCTGGGGTCACCTGATCGATGTTAAGAAAACCTTTAGAGGATTTTGGGCTCAGTGATGTGGTCCTTTAGGTCCAAAAGAGCTGAACAAATTACGCAAGTGATATATATACACACTGTATATATACAAATATACACGCAAGGTAAATATACGTATGGATATGTATGGATAATGTATATATACAACACACAGGGTAAGGCAACGTTGTGATTCACACTCCCCCCCCCCCCCCCCCCCGCCGCGTTGTGCTTAATGTGCTTCACAGTTCACGGAGCTCTCCGGTGCACCTCATTGGATGCTACGTCCACCTGGTGAGGGAGGAAGGACAGGGTTACCCTGCCTGTCTTGCAGGGGAGACAGCCAGGGCTCGGGAGGTAAAAGGCATGTCCACAGCCCCACGGACGTCTAGTCCCAGAGCAGGACTCACTGGGTCTTCCAACGCCAGACCCCGCGCTCTGCCTCTGGCCTGTGCTAACTCCCCATCATGGGGAGGGCAGGCGCCTTCCCTTCCCGTGGATTCTCAGCGTGCTCCCAACCACCAGCGCCCTGCTGCTCTGCAGCCGACTGCTCACTGATTGGACCCGGCATCCCATCGGTCATGCCTGTTTGGGAAATGAATCCCATTGAAAAGACAAAGGTTGTGAGCAGAGCGAGGACCTCTGCGCGAAGGGCAGCTCACCGGGAAATCGGGCGACCTCCCCCGAGGGGGCAGGGACGGCATGCATAGCGCGTGACTTCCCGCGAGCTCCGTCCTGCTCATCACCTTTTATTAATGGAAGCAGTTGTTTCAGTTAATATTTTCTTTATGTCGGAACAGAGCTCCCAGGCAAAGGCTGTGGAAACGGGGCACTGAGTGGTCACTAAACTTGTTGAAACGCCACAAGAATGAAATTGAGGGCTCCCCTAGGGAACGCTGTCCGTCCTTTCATCAACATACTTTCTGAAATTTCATAATTCTTTTTCTCAAAAGGGTGGTTTTTTTAAAAACCACTTAAATTTCTTTTTTAGATATATAAAATGTGCTAGTTCCTTTTCCGACAATCTGTCTTGTAGGGGCAAGCCACTTAGATCAGAAAAGATATGCTAGCCCTGGCCAGTTGCTCAGTGGTTAGAGTGTCAGCCCAGAGTGTCGGCCGGTGGACTGAAGGGTCTTGGATGCGATTCTAGTCAAGGGCATGTACCGAGGCTGCAGGTTCAATCCCTGGCCCTGGTCGGGTGTGTGCATGAGGCAACCAATCGATGTGTCCCTCTCACATCAATGTTTCTCTCTCTCTCTGTCTCTCCCCCACTCTCTTCCACTCTCTCTCTCTCTAAAAATCAATGGAAAATATCCTTAAGTGAGGATTAACAAACAAACAAACAAACAAACAAACA